AAACTTGTCTCGATGGAACACAAAGAAAACAATAATAATTACTGTCATCTTATAGTGACAATAAGTGTAATACTTTGTTTTCCTATTACATAAACACGTGTACATAAGATCTTATTTAATTCAGGTACGAAAATATATACAAGTAATCAAATGTATTATGCAATGTATCGGATATTTGTATTATTTTTTCTTCTATTTTCTAAATTTTCTTATATATAATATGTTAGGTATCTAAAAAAAAACGAGACACATGGAGCATAATTGTAGAGATCACATTGTAAGTTTTATTTTTTTTAATGACTTTCCTACGATAAGTACCGTAGATGTAGAGAAGTTAGCGTTTCATGTAACGGATCTGGTTTTGAGAAAATGAGCTTCAAATTAAACTAACCGGCACATTGTAGGCCTATGGACTAAAAATACATAATATTATATGCACGTAAAACACAACTAAAGAAAGACGATTAACTCAAAATGCAAACTATCATAAATATAAGTACTGAGTCTGTTTAATATCAAAGTATTCAAAAGATCACAAGTTGTAACGTTGAAAAAGAGGAATTTGAAAGTATAAAAAGTGTCTCCCCGATCGGGTTCCTCTGTTTTCTCTCAGTGCATAATTACTGCTGTTCAAAGTACGCACATAAAAAGAGTGTATACAAATCAGTTGCTTTAATTGGATTTAAATGCAAAGTGAAGGTTCAATGGCCCACATGGTTAATGCGTCTAGACAGCAGAAGATCCCAGGTTCGAATCCCAGTTACTCGATATGTTTTCACACTCGCATTCCTCGTCTTTAACATTCGAAATTGATGTATAATAGCATTCGGTTACAGCAAGATGTATATATATATATATATATATATATATATATATATATATAAAATGAGTACGAATGCACAATGTAGAGTCGTATACGTTGACATAATAGACATAAGATATATATTTTTTTAATTTTATATATATATATAAATATATCATTCATAGATAACATTCAAAATCGATGTATAATAGCATTCGGTTACAGCAAGATGTTTATATATATGTAAACGAATGCTATATATTTATATACATATATATATATATATATATGTATATATGTATATATATATATATATGTATGTATATACTTCCTGTTCTTGATTTTAGTTATGTCTTATGTTTAGCTTATCCATTAACCATGGATGAATTAATTCCCCCATGCATTAACTATAGTAATGCTTTTCCCACAGTCCACCACTTGCTCATTCATTATTCACCCTTATCACTGTTTATTTGTAAATTATCATTAATCCTTTATAGACGTATGCCGACTTGCTTTGACTTAATTACCGTATTGTTTCTCAAATTGTATATTGCTAAGATAGTTTCTCAATATGTTCATTTTATGTCAAGCGTTGACAAAGACTACAGGAGTAGCCGAAATATTCGCCTAATAAATTTTAGTGTTTCTAAAGTCAACATCTTACGTATTTGAGTTTCATTACTGTTACGTTATATTATATTCTATATACATACCGTATATATATACATATATACATATATATATATACACATATATACTGTATTATCTATATACTGTATATATATAATTTGATATATATATATAATTATATAAATATATAATATTTGATATTTGATATGTAAATTAAATCAAGTTGGTGTTATACAGTGGTGTCAACGTCTTTGAATAAATCAAAGATGAATGAATAATTAATGTTTATATATCTGTCATTAAACCCGTGTTTAGGTCTATGCGTTGACAAGTGATACGGTTTAAGGTTGGTTTATGCTTCCATGCTTACAGTAAGCACATACTGTATATGAATCTATCGATATTAGGAAAGTAAAATTGTGACAATTTTATCGATTGGTTTTAAGGAGCAATAAGCATATTAGCTACATGAACACATCATTCCACAAAGACAGGGGCTAGAATTAACCCTACTCTTTCGAAAGATGCAGTGGGTTTTCTTTAGGGCACACGAGCCATTTTAAGTCCTTATCCTAGAAGATCTGGTTATACCAACCGAACCCTGGGTGAGGAACGGCTTAAACCAGCGCCGAGGACTGTAGTTCTCGGCGCCCATGCCTTATCTCTGACTCGTCAGATATACCTCTTCTCTCCCCTTTCAAAACATCGCTCTCTGTTTCCTATTTCTCTGCCTTTTTTAAATGAAAAGGTTAAATATTATGAAATTTGCCAACACATGTAAACATGTCAATCAAAAAATAGTGACGTCATGGTTATTTTCCCCAAGGGTACCATCAATAGAATACCAAGTATCGTAATGTTGTTGTTGTGTTGTTTGGGCAGAAAAGGGATGGATAGCATTTGTATGAATTGTCACGTAGATTCAATAAAGAATTTCAACAATTATCGATCGGCGCGGTTCACCACGTTCACTAATTACAATACACGCTGTCGTTAGTCGGGTAATGCGAGCTAATTTTACTGATATTCAATATCACATTAATACGCGGGCTGACTATGCCTCTGGCAAGTTGAATATTGACGTTACGGGGATAAGAATTGACTCAGTGTATCTACTATTAAGAGATATAGGCCTTTTCACAGGTGGTGATGTGTGTATGTGTGGGTGTGTGTGTGTGTGTGTGTGTGTAGCCTATGTGTGTGTGCAATATTGATAACAATGAAATTGTTCTTCTTCTTCTAGCTGCATCCACTTGAAGGTGGGGTATCTGTGGCAAACGCTATCCTTTTTCAGCTTTCTCTTTCATCCTCTGTAGCTCCGATAGCCTTCGTGTCACTTTTTACACAGTCGAACCATATCTTAGTTCCGGTCTCCCTCTTTTTCTTTTCCCCTTAATGTTTCATGTTCAACATACTTCTTCCCACATAACTTGAGTATTTTCTGTCCACGTGGCCAAACCACCTGAGACGGGGTAGGCCTACGACTTTCTGCCCAACGCACTGATACATAGTTCAAATATAAATATAGTCACTCCTTAATTTCTTCATTTCTAGGTTCCGATTCCAATATATTATATTAATTGTTGAAATTTATAATATTTTGTGATAATGAAGTACTTACCTACACAACAATAGTATTCGTTAACGATCTTTGTTATTCCATTCTTTGATTTTTTTAAAATACCGACTGTGACAATAGATCAGGTCCATCGGCTGGTTACGGTAGGTAAGTCGAAGGGCCAGTCGATCGGATGGTCGGCAGTCCGGTCACTCTCTTCATCGGTCGAATTGATATATTTATCGACTGGTTTGTTGGCTTGTTTGTTAATTGATTGATTTATTTATTGGTTGGTTAGGTATCATTACATTGGTCGATCTCAATCAATTTATTAAATGATTGATTGATTGATTGGAGAATTAGTTGATTGATCGTTTAATTGAGTGATCCATCGATTTCTTGATCTGTTGATTCATTTTATTTATTTATTATTTATTCGACTTCACACAGGCAAAACTGCAGTAAAATATCAATGGCATACTGAAAGACTGCCGGTGACGGGAAAAGGCTAACAGGTGAACAAATCACACCACTGATAGCGGCCGATCCCGAATTGCACAGACCAAGATATAAAATCAAGTATATAAAATTTAAAAATGTAGACCTAACACATTGACCTAGGCCTATTAATTGATCCACTAATTTGTTAATATATTGATCGATTAGTCGATGGATTGGTACCCGTGCGAGGTCAAAGATGATAGTTAAAGCAATGCAAGTCTTTGTAAAGTACCGATTCTACAGTAACTTGAACAAACGTATATCTACTAACACTGAAAGACAAGATTGATGATCTAATCTCAGTAGTTTTGTACAGAAGCGTTGTGTTGAGCCGTCTCGTAAATCACGTGATGTGATTATTGCATGTGTGCTAAATACAATGTTTCGTTTTGTCGAACAAGCTTTGTTGTATCTTCGGTAAAATATCAAAGGTTTCTGTTGGCATCAGATCTAGGCCTCCTTTCCTTACCGTAATTTGAGCATCATGCGATTGGGCATCAAATCAATTTCTAATTAGGTTTGAAATAATACCAAGCCACAATTACTGTTCTTAAGTATTCCGTCCAACCTGTCTTACCTTTAATAAGAATCTAATCACGTAACTATTTATAACTATTTTTTCGTAACAACATAAGAAATGTTGATGATAATAATAACTGTAATAATAATAATAATAATAATTATAATAATAATAATAATAATAATATAATAATAATAATAATAATAATAATAGGCTGAGGACGAAAATGTATTGTATTTTAAAGTAATTTTGCGTTTAACCTAGCTGCAGCTAGTTTGAAACGCTTTTGAAAACGCAAATTTGTTTAAAAAATTAATTATTAATTTTAAAAATATGTAGGATGACGTCATTGTTTAATCTACACATACCGGTATTTATTTTGTTATTGTCTTTGCTTGAAAATTTTTTTAAGACGATCCAAGCACGGAAAAGGACCAAAATGGCAGACAAAAAAAAAACCAACCCTGGTAAAAATATAGAAAAACGGTTTAGAAGAAGAAAAAATCAGAAGGAAAAGCCAATAATATTATTACAGTACTTGCATTGTATTATTACCTATTTTCATAAATGGAAGAATCCATAATGCTGTTTGTGTCCAAGACACATTGGAAAAGAAACGTGATGACGTATTACAATTATTACGAGGGAAGTGTTTTGACGTTAAGGAATAATAGTGCACACCGGTATTTCACTAACAGATAGGCTGTCTGCTGCCGGCCGCTTAACTTTTTCGCGGCCAATCTATTTACTTTTTGACTTCAAAATGGAGTAATGTAATCCAATTTTGACTATTACTGAGGCATCAAATAAATTCACAAAAAGACTGACGTTAAGGTTCTGGTTATAATTAATTTGTATTGAGTGAAGTGAAATCAGCTGCACAACGAACGCAAAATTGAGAAGCGATTAAGAAGGTAGGGAATTATTCCCAGATATTACAATGGGACGCTCTGAATAAGGCCCTCAATCGTTTCATTTCTTTTTAGTGGATTTGTTCTTTAATCTTGGAAACGCGTGGTCGATTCGTCAAGATGATGATACAATCCTGGTGGAAATGGTTCGCACCATTACTCGTTTACTCTGAGGGTAAGTGTAACTATGTAAATATATTAGTTCTGTCGTGTGTATAAGAGACAGCAATAGATCAGGTCCATCGGCTGGTTACGGTAGGTAAGTCGAAGGGCCAGTCGATCGGATGGTCGGCAGTCCGGTCACTCTCTTCATCGGTCGAATTGATATATTTATCGACTGGTTTGTTGGCTTGTTTGTTAATTGATTGATTTATTTATTGGTTGGTTAGGTATCATTACATTGGTCGATCTCAATCAATTTATTAAATGATTGATTGATTGATTGGAGAATTAGTTGATTGATCGTTTAATTGAGTGATCCATCGATTTCTTGATCTGTTGATTCATTTTATTTATTTATTATTTATTCGACTTCACACAGGCAAAACTGCAGTAAAATATCAATGGCATACTGAAAGACTGCCGGTGACGGGAAAAGGCTAACAGGTGAACAAATCACACCACTGATAGCGGCCGATCCCGAATTGCACAGACCAAGATAT